AGACTGTCGGTTCACACCCCATCACAAGCCAGCAAAACACCCACGAAACAAAGAAAGGTCTGTCACAGCCAAAAAATACACTCCAGACACGCCGCTGGCACTAGAGGCACAGCATGCCCGCGTAGTGACGGCCCCGACCACTGCCGTATATATATATGATCCAATCGACAACTAAGACGTGTGTTTTGCCAGCGGAGGTCTAGCAACTCCTGCTGCGAACCGTTTCAGCACACATCCATGTCAGCGATCATTGGAGGACGGCACAGTCGGACCCTCGCGGAGGATCGTCCCCAAACCCGCGATAGTAGAACACAGGTTGTTGTTGTTCGCCTGGAGTGTTTCCCGTATAGCAATCATGAGTTCTTTGAACTCGGCGTCCCCCCGCGTGCGATCCGTCGATTGCATTTGTGCTGCTTCGCGGACTGCACCAGCCGCAGTCTCGCCGAGCCCTTCGGCTATGCCCCTCACCTCGGACATCACACCGTCACGTGCGCTTTTTTTCCTTTTCCCCGCTCCCGTACGTGCCGCCTCCGCAACGGAAGGCAAACGGCCACCAACGCCAGCTGATGTCGAAGTCGGGCCGCCTCCTGCCCCCCCCTCCGGTGGAAGTCCGGAGTCCAACAGATCCTCCGGAGCAGCCGAAGGGTCGTCATGGTAAAACGCGTCCATCGCTATGAAAACGGACTCTCGTATGCACACGTTCACTTTCTTCTCCTTTCTCTCCTTTCGGTGGTCATCTCGAAGAAGTTCTTTGAGCCAGAAACGAACCGGTTGTGGAACACTACACGATTATATGCGAACTTCAAATTCTCCCACTTCCTCTTCACGTCTGTCAACTCCTTCTGCACCCCCTTCGCCTGCAAACGCTCCACTACTTCCGCCCACTTCGCATCGGACGATTTTGCTTTCGCACCAATCCCGATCGCAGTTCTCTCCATCTCCACATCGTACTCCCCCTTCACCAGCACAAGACAGATGGAATCCTCCTCCGACCACTTCCCGCCATCGCCCTTATCGCCCTTGGCGGCTACACCCGTCGTAGATCCTTCTGCCTTGCCACCCTCTCCCGGGGCCCCGGCATCGCCGACATTGCTTGTTATGTCATTCCCACGACCACCCACCGCGCCAGACACAGCTGTGGCTCCAGCATTGCCATCATCGGCGCTAGCGGCTTTGGCCATTAGCGCTGAAAAAGAAGCTGCAGCTCTCCGCTTCGGGTTGGTGGCCCTGTAAGGCGTGCGACCGCCTCTCCCGCTGGAACTGCCATTGCCACGTCCCCGCGGCGCTGTTGCTGCACGCTTTCGTGCGCTCCACCGATCTGTGTTGACACCACTGTCCACCGCCAGGTTACGGATCGGAGGGGTTGCCTCGCCAGAAGGAGGCGTTGTGCAAGGTGGAGCCCGTGCAGGTGTTCCGGATGGTGTAGCCGTCCACAACATGGACGGGTCGCACGTGCCTGACTCCTGAGACGGCAAGTCCGCGCCAAGGTCGACGGCGTCAGCATTCATGTCGAGCACCCCGCACTCAAATGCGGGACGGTTGCTGGTGCCTGTGGAGTCGCTCAATGCACGAGGGTCATGCAGCACTACACCCACGGCCATGCCCGGTCCTACTTCGCGTGGAACACCCCCGGCATGTGCCTTGTGCTGCAGACCAGAATCGACGCGGCCAAACGATGTGGTTTGCCCCGACACCACCGCGTGCGGTAGCAAGAAGGTGCGGGAGCACTGAAAAGATGGAGATTCGCCCCACCGCACGGAACTGCCTCCTGCTCCTTCACCACAGCCAATGCCCGCATCCGCTATCTGGAAGGGTAGCCCGCCGCCACCGTTTAGATCAAACGGCAGACTGTTTACCAGCTGCGTGCACCCATGTCCGAAGCTCCCCGTAAGCTCCGTGCTGCAACTTGCTCCGTACGTTTGCGTCAATTTCGCGGCATAGCCAACGTAATCGTCGGACAATGGCTCCAAGTGGGGAGGTAGCGTTGGATCGGAGAGAGGATCAAACTCAGCGTACTCGGTCGGCATCACACACCCGCCGATGCCCAATCTCAGGCCGTCATCGCCACCGAACGTCGAAGGCACGCGATACTGTCCAGGAGCCCCCACATGCCCACTCGCTCCATTTCCCGAGAGGGCCATCCTCCTACCCCGGCGGCGATGGCGACCAAACACACGTTGTCGCACAATAGTGAGGGCGGCGCTGACAAACCGCCTAACGACGAAGCGGAGAACCGTCGACAGCAGCCAGATAGCAAGGAGGCTGATCGATGTGCCGGCATACAAAACAAGCACGAACTCCGGCTCGGATAGCATGGCTGCGCAAACTCCAGACGGACGACTGCCGGAAGTGGCCAGGAGGTAGAAGCAAAGGCACAGAGGGGAGTGTGGAGTGGACGGCACGCACAGCCACCAGACCACCGACCGCACTGTTCAATTCCCACTCTCCCTCGTTTTATGCGCACGCCATCAAGCCGGGTAACCATGCTCACTGTCGACGAGACAAAGAAGAGTGCAGCGCACGACCAAACCAACCCACCCAACCCCACCCACGACATGTCGTCCCGCTCCGCACATGCCTCTCCGCCCCACCTGGAGTCCATCGTTGCCTCTGCAAAAAGCTGCTCCCACACTCCACGAACGGCTCCACGGTCACCACAACATGGCAGATCCTGCAGTGTGCGCACCCCGATAGCCTGCACGGAGGGAGCAGCCTTCACACCAGCGCGCTCGCACGAGACAAGTGCATGCCGGCTGCCACCAATGATACGAAGCAGACAGGAGAGCGCGCCATAGCTGAACACCTTGGACCGGAGCGAGGCAAGACGTTACGCCAAGGTGCGGACTGCCCCAGCTCCTCGCACCCCACCACCTCGAACCGACAGGCGGGGGGAAAAAACGCGCACTTCTGCACAGCCTCCGACGGTGCTCCGTCCTCCACCCTCACCGGCGCAGACTGCACCCGCCTCCACTCCGCCCGCCCACGCGCACCTTCGCGTCCGATATCCGTCTTGCCCGCCCGCCGTTCGGACTGCATTCGGCCCACCGCGAGAGCCACAGTGGCCTGCTCGCTCTAGAAAACCGAACATCCGATCTAGAGTGCTAACGACAAGGCCGCCAACTCTTGTCGGCCCAGACACCCGACACACTCAAGGAATTCTAGGCCACGGCAAGGGACCCACCGACCACTCTTGAGATAACGGCCGCTGCAGGCGGGCACTCTAGATCGGTGTGGAGTGCGGAGTCGCGGGTGGCCCCGACAGCTCTAGAAAGCGAATTGAGTGGGCTCCTTTCTTGAGTATGTGGAGTGACATTTTACTCTACACAATTTCTCGAGTAAAAACTGACCACTCTAGAAGGAAAATTTGAGGTTCCTAGAGGCTCGCCGCACAGGCTGTCGAAAGTCGAGAATTTTCGACAGATATCAGGAAATTTTCGACAGCCTGTTCTTCGACAGTTTTCCCCCCTTCGCCACACAGCCTGTCGAGGGGAATTTGGAGCAACTTTTGCACAACCGTCACAAAAGACGGCACACCTGTCAGGGATTTGTCCCTGACAATAGGAAATGGGAGGTGTTTCTCGAAAGGTCGGCGGCGCACTGTCGAACATCCTTGAGCTGCAGGCGGGAGGAACCGAGAGTTTCGACAGGGCAGTCGAAACCACAAATCTGACACATGTCGAAAACATTCTGAAACGGATTTCGTCGACAATATGTGTGGCGATGCAAAACTGTCGAAAACTCGGTTTTCGACAGCCTGTGTGGCGAGCCTCCTAGTCTAGAGTAGTGGAGCGATAATTCACTCTAGATTTTTTATTGAGTCTAGAGTAGTGGAGCGAGACCCAATAGTGCGACAATTCCCGAAAATTAACCTGAGAGGGCTCCGGTTCATGGCGCAAAATAGCGCTCGGTCCCGCCGCCACCGGCTTCTGCCGGCCTAGCCGCCTACGCCCGGCAAACTTGTTGACGCATAGGTTACGTCTCACATAGGTTTCAGCGATGTCTGACCTTGTTTGACTCGATAGGCTAGCCCATCAAGCACATCAAGCACTTCAAACACTCCAATCAATCTGTGTACCGTACTTTATTTTACAAAGCCACCATATCAGCTATCTTCAATTGAGGACCAACAACGACGCACGCTCAAGAAGAGTGCCCACTTGCTCGTCAACCTCCCAATGGAGGTGGAAGACAATCAACCTCAGATCGAGGACGAAGGTTTCACACGGCCCCATGGAGTGGACGAGGGCCTGATAGGAGCTGAAGATGACGCCGCAACCCCAAAAAATCACAACAACAAGGAAGAAGCGGCGGGACCACAAAATCGTTCACCTCCACAAGCACAGACAAATTATTGGGCTGAGGAGGAAAGGGTCCGGGAGATGCTGGCAAAATGCTTTAACATCGGCATCCTCCCATCGGGATGGGACATAGGCGAGCTTAAGGAGCAAGGAACGAAGGCCCATTTCACATTGAACCCATCCTTGGATGAGATCAAAGTGAAATGGTTAAAGGAGAGAACCGTTACGGTTATTTTCCAAGAGGGCTCCAAGAATCTGCCGAAGAAAATTAAGGAGGACGTCATCAGAGCATACGAAAACGTATGGTTGGGGGAGGAGAGGTTTGACCCCTCGATCACAAGAGGACGTGTACGCATAGAATCCAGTAACGTGCTCTCCTATATCGCAAAGGATGTCAGGGTAGTGGAGTGGATGCTGCAAGAAGGGGAAGTGTGAGTCTCTCTCCGAGGAAGATGGCACAGCATCGCCTTTAAACCATGGCTGACGAAGAAGGAGATTCAAGATATGCGGAGGGAAGTCGAGCAAAGTTATTTTTGGGTTAGAATTCTGGACGTACCGATCGATGCCTACTGCTATCTGGAGTCAGCAATGGAAACCTCGATAGGCCAAGTTTTGAAGACCTATCCTCCAGAGAAGGATGCGAGAACTCCCCGATTGATCAATGTCAAACTAGACCTGGCATTGGAAGCACTCTTGAGATTGAAGGAGACGATTTCCTTCACCACCTTTCAAGGGCAGGAGATCGAGTTAAAGGTGGCAAATGCCCAGACTCTGTGGTGTAGTAGCTGCAGAAAGTATTTTCACTTGGCGGATCAGTGTACACGTCAGCGGGGAAGGCGACCCCCAAGCCCAACGTCAAGTACTTCGTCAAGTTTGAGTAGCAGTCGGCAGCCTAGCTCTCTTCACCCAAGCACTCATGCAAGGTCAAGATCAAGTCAAGGACATCCACACTCGGATGGCCCAGTACCATCGGCGAATCAATCTGAGGATTCGAAGTCTTCCAGGCACCGAAAGAAGCAGCCAACATATTCAGGTGCGTTAGGCCCTTTGGGTCTTGCGCCCCGGGGACCTCAACAGGCAGATGACTCCCAACTGAAAGTTAGGGATAATCCCTTCTTCTCACCACATCAGGGTGATGTCATGGGGTCCCGGAACGTGTCGAATGCGGCTGCCTCAAACAGATGTTTGCAGCAACAGTACATGGAGCGGCTTGGCCGGCAGAATCCAGATGCAGCAGGCCCATCCGATGCGCCTCAGCCGGCGACTCAGTCAGAAAGGACAGAGACGACTCCAACGAAACAGCGGCGAAAAATTGGAGCGGACGGCGATGCGGTTCGAATCGAGGATGATGTGGAAGAAATGCACTCTACAACGTCATTATCCATATCAGAAGAGCAAAGGAGGAAAGAATAGGGTTCGACAGCGATGAAGCGGAACCGAAGACAATCGACGAAGGCAGGGGATCGAGATTGGGAGAAACACCTTCTTCCGCTGCTGTTTGTGGCTACAGTTGAAGGCACTTTTGTCCTAGCGTGGTCAACCGAGCCTGGCGTGACTGTTCTCCCGTCTCAGCCGATTGGTAATCCTCCAATGTCAATGGATACTGTCAATATCGCACGGAGGACATACGGCAGTGACATCGCGGTAAGAAATATCCCTGACATCCCCATCCCGCGATTCTTCGTAGAGAACGCTGACCGTAGAATTAAATTATTCACACCGCTGATGGATGCTAGAATAACACAGGAGGCGCTGTTGCGTTTGGCTGCTCAAAGTCTTACCCGTTTTCCCAATGGAATGGTTTGTTTTTCTGGATTATCCGGAACTGGCAAAGTTCAAGGTGCTTGGGGATATTAGTGCTGGCTGCCTAGGCAAATTGTCCCAGAAAATTCCGAAGCTGAGGGCACTTCACACCCCGCTCTTCCATTCCTACCTCACCCAAAAATGGGACACGGGTCCGACACAATCGGGATCATCAATCCCTTCCGTTCGCATCCAATCACGGCACCAACAGGTGGAAGAACATGCACCTAATTAAAGTTGCTTCATGGAATATTCGAGGCCTAGGAGACACGGGAGGCCGTAATAAAATAGCTAAATTGAAGACGTGGTTACACAAGGAACGCATTTCTATCCTCTGTCTACAAGAGACTAAACTCGATCAGGATAAGATAATGTCCTTGGGTGCATGGTGGGACGGTCCACAGGTTTGGGCGCCAGCGGTAGAATCGAGGGGAAGGACTGCTATCCTGATTCACAGAAACTTGGATGCGATCATTCTGGATCACGATTTTGATCAACAGGGCAGATGGGCGTGGGTAAAGTTCTCAACAGCGGGTAAAGAATGGGCAGTAACATCGGTTTATGCACCAACTGTTAGAGCGGAACGTAGAGAGTTCTTACATCTGTTGATTGATAACTTGCCAGACGTGGATGAAATAATAATGGGAGGGGATTGGAATCTTTCGTTGGATGATGTGAACCCCCTATTTCATCAGCAGAAAGCAGGTAAGGACCTAGATGCGCTTATAGATCTGGTGACTGAACTGGACCTCTCCGGCCCATTTAGACTGATTAATCCTGTAGATCAATGATACACGTGGTATTCATCTCAGTTGTTGGCAGGCAGGAGTATTGTCCCTCGTAGGATAGATTTCTTCTTGACCAGCAAGAATTTTCTGGAAAATACAGTTAGTGTGTTTGCACAACCTCACCCACTCTCTGACCATAGCCCAATTACGCTGAGTATCCACTAGGGAGAAGCTCCCGAAAGAGGCAAGGGTACCTTCAGGTTAAATAGTGAAATCTTAAAAGAACAAGGTATCAGAGATTGGGTTAGTGCTCAGCTGAAAAACTGGTTGGATAAGAAACAGTTGTTTGCCACAGAGAATGCATGGTGGGATGCATGTATGTTCTTTATTTCTGACACACTCAGTGTCTTTTCCCGAATCCTGGCTCTCCACGATAACAAGGAGGAAGCAAAGATTAAAAAGTCTATAGACGAGGTTGAAGTTGTAATCGCAGTTTTACCACAGCGATCGATAGACGTCCATTGGTGGAGTATAGTCCGGGCAGAAAGGATGCAGAAATGGGACGAACTACATGATAAGAAGTCCAATAGGTGGAAGGAAATTCTGACTGTAAAAGGCATAATAGTCGGGGACCGCATGACTAAAACCACATTCCAGAGACTGCTACCCCGCTTTTCCCACCATGAGATGAAATCGCTAAGGCACCCGTTTCATGAGAATGCCCCGATTGCTACGGCCTCAGTAACTATGTGTTCGTACTCAGAAGCATACTTTGGGGACATTCTCACATCCCGACGGAGCCCTATGGAACTGGAGTCGGGACAACAGCATAAGACGGACCTCTGGGATGTGATGGAGACATAGCTCAGTCAAGCAGGCCGATTAGATCTCGATCGACCACTTACGAATGAGGAAGTCGGACTAGCATTAAGATCGATGGCTAAGGGCAAAGCCCCAGGCTCAGATGGATTAACAGTGGAGTTCTTTGATGAGTTTTGGTCGGAATGCACAGACACTTTGCTGAAAATGTATAATGATGTTTTAACAGGTGGTGAACTAACACCCAGCATGTGCCATGGCATTATCACTCTTCTGTACGAAAAGGGAGATCAAGCTGATATTCAGAACTGGAGACCAATTTCCAGATTGAACGTTTCGTATAAAATCCTAGCAAAAACGCTCGCAAGGCGGTTAGCTAGGTACCTACCGGGACTGGTCGCTCATGATCAGGCGGCTTTCGTACAAGGACGGTCCATTTTTGTGAACATAGTAACTGCAATCGAAATGTTGGAAATCATGGAAAAGGAAGAACGACCTCTGGTTGTTTTGCTACTTGATCTGGAAAAAGCATAT